TGGCTGAAAATGCAATTTCTTATGAGTTCAGAAAAACTGAGATTTTTTTTAAAATACCTATGTCAGCTTCCTACCTTAAATTTCCTTCCTTCCTTCCTTCCTTCCTTCCTTCCTTCCTTCCTTCCTTCCTTCCTTCCTTCCTTCCTTCCTTCCTTCCTTCCTTCCTTCCTTCCTTCCTTCCTTCCTTCCTTCCTTCCTTCCTTCCTTCCTTCCTTCCTTCCTTCCTTCCTTCCTTCCTTCCTTCCTTCCTTCCTTCCTTCCTTCCTTCCTTCCTTCCTCCCTTCCTCCCTTCCTCCCTTCCTCCTTCCCTTCCTCCTTCCTTCCCTCCTTCCTTCCCTCCCTCCCTCATCAGTTTTTATTTGGTCCACAGTACAGCTGTGCCCATGTAAAACATTTTCTGCCTCTCAGTAGACCACAGATGCCTTCAAGAGGACTCTTTGGGAGCAAAGCTAGATATTTTTCCGTGCTCTGTTTTGAAGCCATATAGATTTGACTCTTTGAGACAGGGTTTACCTTTGTGTGAGTCTTGCAGAGCACCAGGCAGGAGTTGTGAGCTGTGTGACAGCTGTAGGTGAAAAGTTCACCATCTGATCCCCTGCAAATGCTGGCTGCTTCTGTGTCTATTTTGCTCCCATGGTGATCACAGCTTTAGAGTCTGCTTCCTCCACACCCCTAGGATCAAACCAGAGTTCCTTCTTTAGTTTTTAGGTGTGTTAAGAAGCACTGATTTTGGTTTTTATAGAAAGATATTATGAACACTGGCTAATTTGAGAAAAGTATTTTTAAGTTTTAGGAATGAATTGGTGATATGCTGACAGACTTTGGTCCTTCTGGAATGTCCTGTATATTGGGCAGGCAGGTGATTTAGAGGTGGATCAGGTACTCCTGTGGTCCAGTTTGTGTAGCAAAGGGGCAAGATCCAGTTGTCAATTGGTAGGGCAAGAGATAGAGGAGATTTTGTTGCTGTGAAGAGAAGGGTCTGTACCAGGTTTCCCTGCATATCTCTCCTCCCCAGCTTTCAGTGTGCCTCAGGTGGGGCGTGCAGCAGGTGCCTGTGTGGCCCCTCTGAGAACTGCTGGAGGCCCCCTCCACATGTGCTGACCCCTTGGGCTCTCCCTGTAGTGTCTGAGAGGTGGTCAAGACTTTAGGAGGGATAACAATAATAATATAATAATATAAACTGAACAATATGATGATATTTTGTTGTTATTTACACCTGACTACTGTTCACCTGCAGTCCTGAAGAGGTTTGAACTTGCTGTTTCACATTTCTCTGACTGGTATTTTGTAACCTCCTCTAAAGGTTTTCTTTTGCCATCAGACAGATGCACACATCTATGAGGTATATGCACACATGCATCTACCTGATTTTGTTGTAGTATTTTGTTTCTGAAGGTCACCACATTTAAATATACATTTGGTGCTATGGCTGTGAGGTTTGCTTAAGAGTGCTAAAGAACAAACTCCATGCTAAAGATCCTTATCCTTTGCTTTCCAGGTGGTGTTGCAATAATTGAAAAAATGCATTATTAGGCCCTTAGAAGATGATTACAAAAACTGTAATTTTGCTAGATTTGCTAGATTCTTTTGTGCTAAAGTCAAGGAGATCTGCACTGCCAGTTCATAAATGGAGAAAATACTGACCTATAAACACTCTAATTTTCAGCAGCAGTTCAGTTGCTTCTGTATTCTGCAGACAAGCGGCCTCATTTGGTGAGATTTTGAATTTAGCATGCAGATTATCAGGCCTAACCACCACTTTTCATCAGAAAGACCCTCATTTTATTTAGTAGGGATTAGCACAGTTAAATTGTATTTTGAAATTGTTTCTTCAACCCCCCTATGTGATTTGGGCTGGTTTTCTGATTTAGAGGATTTTACTTTGTCTCTATGCCTTATTCTCACTCCTTTGAGTGAATTTGCTTTACTTCTTGTGGCTGGGTTGTCTTGCACTCCCAAATCTGTTGATATGGAGGACTGGGCAAGAGCATAACAAACAGTATTCCTTCAACTCCCTGTTTCCAAGGTAAGGCTAATCAGCTTTTGTTGAAAACAGCAGTCAGGGATTGCTTTATCTCCCATACTTGTTTTTTAACTTGTTGGTGCCAGATGCTTCAGTGCATGCAGAGCCAGGAAAAGACTTGCACTCCATGGATTAGTGGTGTCACTTCCACACAAAGGCAAAATTTCAAGATTGTTTTTCCCTGATCTAGTAATGAGGCTGATGTAGTAGTTGGAACTCCAAACATCATGCTTTCTGTCTCTGAGATGGATTTTAACTCATTCTGTGTTTCCAGCATTTTTCATGATGTGACAGTTTTTCACATTTCATTATTAAAGAACTTTAACTATCCTTTCTGATTTGAGTCCTGTTCCTTAGTCATGTCTTTGCATACCTGCTGTCCTTCTGGCTGAAAAGAAACAAGATAAATTTTCATCCAAACCCTACAGTGTTGTTTTCTACTCTTTGTGAATATATAGTCATGTAGATTTCATGGGTTTTAATAAAGTAAAAATCTGGGGGAGGGGGCATTTTTCTAACAGCAGTTCTACTCTTTGAAGTAAAACCATTCTCTTTACATGTGTGTCCTTTTCTATGAAAGCTGATAGCATTTTATTTTAAAAATAGAAAACATGGCCCTTGTGACTCCCCAGTGGCACAGTCTGAACATTGACTAAAGTACTCTTCAAAAAGCCACTGGGAATTTACTACTCCTGATTTACAGCTGGAGAAAATGGGGAGATCGTTTAGATGGCAGCAATACTTTCACTCTGGTTGAAAACACAGATTGGATTTGAGAAATTGGAAATTCTGAGCCTTGTGCCTCTTTTCACTGGTGCACAACCTGCTACAGTGGAAATAGGCAGATTAAACCTCTCAGCTGATTTAAGGTTTTTTGGTTTGCATTATATATCTCTTCTGTTCAGAGATATAAGTGAGAAATCATGAAACCTGTAGCTTACATTTAAGAATCTGGTAGGGCTGTGTTTCTCCAGCCAGGGATGATGCAGTGCAAACACATAGATTCTTCAGCAGGATACCCTGAGGGTTATGGCACTGGGTTAATACCTGATTTCTGTTCTCAGACCTATAGCAGCCCACCATATAAGTGTCGGGAAATCACTTCTGTGCTCAGAGTCTGATTTGTTCTGTCAGTAAAACAGGAAGAACAATAGCCTATTCTTCATGTTTTGAGACCTATTAAGGAGTTGAATTAATTACTGACACGTGAATGCTATGGCTCTGTTGGGGACGTTAGCATTGAGTTAAAAATGGAGATTTGGTGAAAAAAGAGTAACATTAGAAAATGTTGAGAAAGATAATTTGCACTTCAAAAGGCTAGTTGTGTTTGCATAAATGTGTCCATATGTGCACACACACATGAAATACATATAACATGATTATATAAGCAAATGAGCTGTTTTCATGTGGCTTTAAAGCTTCAACATTTCATGCTTCTATAGACCAGTGGTGTTCACTTGCACTCTGTTTGAAAATGAAGTAAATAAACTTGAGTCTCTGCCTGGTTCAGACCTTGGAATTTGGATAACTTTGAAAACTTATTTGTGGTGTTTAATCTCAATTGAACAGGTACTCATGCTGAGTTTTGTTTTCTGTAGAAGTAGAGAGGGATTGAGTTGGGCAGATCAGCATCCAGCCAAGGTGATACAGACCTGAAGACCTGCCTTATCTTCTGATTTTGGCCCTTTATCCCTATGTGCAAACCACCAGAAGATTCATATATATTAGCTTGGAAGACAGACTTGCATAGAGTATTGTTATTTCTGTATCAATTGCTTACCTTTTATACAGTGCTTACATTCACACACCAATTAAACTTGGACCATGTCATGGTAGACACTGTCAAATATGGTAGAAGGCATCATCTGCCTCTAAGAGTTTTTATCCTAAAAGAAATAAACCCCAAGACCCTGCAAACATGCTGCATTTATGTAAATGCCTCTGATATCACACAGAAACTCATAAATGTCCTGTGTTGCTCTGATTATTGTATAATTTACTATACAAATGTATACTTCCACTCAGAAAGCTACTGTACTATTTTATATGCAGTTTAGAGCAAAACAAAAATATCAGATTAACACAAACCGGTTCTACCAAAAGCTTAAAAGAGAAAGCAGGAAAGGAAAAGACCTTTATTCATACAAAACAGTAAGTAGTTGGAAAGGCAAATGTCTTCAAAGGGAGAGGTCGATCGAAGACTTGATCATGAGATGGTCTTCATTCCTTATTGCAAATTTGTAACCTCTAAGGCATTAAAAATTGCTGTCAGCCATGTTATTTAAAAAGTCTGAATGGATTTAACTCATCTTTATTTGAGAAAAAAATAATTTTATGTTGTTTACTCCAAGTTAATATTTGGTGTTTGCCTAGAAGCAAATTGTACTGGATAAAGGTCAGCATACACAGCTGAATCTCATGTATATACAGTTAAAGCTACATGTGTTTTTTTTCTCACCAGGGCAGTTTGTCACAGTGTGATCATTGTGATTGACTCAAGAAAAGGAGAAAAACCACTTAGCATAGTAACTTGAGCTGTTGGGTTTTCATATGTGATATATAAATTTCAAATTTTTCATAAATGTGTTGTACACATAAGCATCACAAAGATTCATTATTTATTATTATTCTGTAGTATGTATGCTATAGGAAGTGTTAGAGAAATGCAAGTTTAAAGTAATTTAAAGGGCACAAATGGAGGTGGCAGAGACAAGCCCAAGCACCATATGTGTTAATTTTGGGATTTTTTTGGTAGAAGTTAACTGTGCTACTACTTGTCTAAATGTGTACATGAAAGCTGCAAGAGGAAAAAAGCTGATTTGAAGTAACAGGGGAAGTTACATAAATGTTGACTGTTCGAAAACAATCTAAAACTTAGAATGTGTATTATTTTAACTCATTTGCAAATGTGTGTATTTTGCTGACACATTTCATAATTTAAAACTATCACTAAAAGACTTTCGTGCTTTGTGTGCAGGTATATGTCTCGAGTCCATGGTATGCATCCAAAAGAAACCACACGTCAGCTGAGTTTAGCAGTCAAGGATGGTCTCATTGTGGAAACCCTGACCGTGGGGTGTAAAGGGTCAAAAGCTGGTATTGAGCAAGAAGGATATTGGTTGCCAGGAGATGAGATTGTGAGTATAAAGTCTTTGAGAAAATAAATCACAATTTCTGATATTGTAGCATGAAACTTGTTTATATTTCAAACTATTTACAGATTCTGTGTTGGTGCTTGTGAACAGGGAAGTAATGCACTCTTAAATATTTTTTAACCTTTTCTATTCCATAGAAGCTCTTTCCTCTTGAACTCTGAGTTTTCTGCTATGAAAAACTGACAAAGTCCTTTCTGGGTTATGCCTCACTTTTATGTTGTATTCTCTTCTACAGTTGTACAGGAAGACAATAAATATTATTGGTATTACTTGAAATCCTCAGATATTCTCAAATCCCAATGGTGTATTAAAAAAAAAAAAGAAAAGAAGTCACAAACTTTTAAATCTTGCTTTAATCTGAATCTGAAGAACAAAGAACTCCCTTTCAGAAGTGCAACATGAAATTATAAAATTATGTGCAAACACACATGAAAAGATGTGTTTTACTGATATTCATGAACACCAGGGCATTCAATTAGAAAGGATTTTCTTAGAAAATCAGCTACAGGCATCCAAATACTGTTCCATTGGATCTAACATAAATATTAAAATCCATTTAAATAGGTTGAAAGTTACATGAAGAGGAAAAAAAACATGTTTTTGAAATCCTTCCATATCTGAGGTGGAGCACACTCACAAAGTGAGGGTAGTCACATAGACTAGGAGAAAGCTTGAACAATTGTTTTGCCTTGTTCAGAAGCCCCATCTCTTTATTTACAAGACAATATTTTCCTAACTAAAAAGAGTTTTGCAAAGCTTTAAAATACCTGAACTAGGAACTATTGCTTTGGAATATAAATTGCATTAAATACTGATAAAAGGGTCAGCATTGTCTCAATAGATTAAATTTTGAGGAAACCCAGAAAAACTCTAAAAACCATCAAAATGCTCCTTGCAATATGTGAGTTATCAGTAAGATTCTGAAAGTGAAACAATGTGTTGTTTTTGGATTTGTGGAAACAAGCAATATCCATAACAGAAAACATTGCCATCAAAATTATCTCACTTACACGAATTTAAATTATTGAAATACCTTCATTAGAATGCATTGTATTTAATGTCCATTATGTGACTGTTAAGATTTTCATTCTAATTTCATTAGAAACCCTCAAGGGAAACTTTAAAGGGTATGTTACTGTTCTCCCTGGGAGGAAACATTTCAAAACTCCATCTTAGCTCTTTTAGGTATTTCTTACATGAGTTTTATCTGTTTAGAAGTGATATTAACTGTGTAGGCCCAACAAGACATAAAGCCTGAGAGCTGTGATTATCTCAAGTATTCTGTATGTTTGTTTCCTCTATTGCTAAGAGAAAGGAAAAAAAAGAGAAAATTATCAAAATGCCTCACAATAGCCATTTCTTATATAATCATTCAAATAATGTTCCTGCTGCTTATTAGCAACATTTGTTTAACAAAATTTGAAAGAATTTACATCCTGTAAATTGCCAGTGAGTCATTAGAATTGCACAATTATTTTATGTCTGAGCAAAAACCGTTTTCTTTGACTGAAGATGCTGTTCAAGTCACATTATGAATAACCCTTTAGTTAAAAGCAGGCTGCATTTTCAGTATTACTGCTAAGCATTCATACTTTGGGCTTTGACCATATGTGTGGTGGCTGTCTCAGTAGTTCAGAACAGCACACTTGACTTAACAGTTTTATGCAAAAATAAAAATCAGCTTCTGATCCAGACTACATTTCAAAAGTACCCAAACCCCAACTTTTGGTTCCTAATACTGAATCAAAATGCTGCGGACAGATGAAGCAAAACACATTGACTTGGTATAAAGCCATTCTCTTTGTTCTTTTATTCAGAAAGTTTTAATGAGTAACAAAGTGTCGTAGTCATCACTCACCAACAGATCAAGTATTTTCCATTCTCCGACAATTGGTGCAAACCCATCAAGTTTGGTATGTTCTCTGCTTTGGACACACGGGGTAGTTTTACAGATGCTTTGTCTGCACTTGATCAAGAGACAGTTTGTAGTTCTTTGTAATTCAGCACTCCTCAAATCTGGTACTAATGACTGTTGAACCATGAACTCAAGTTACATTTCAGTGAGGACAAATACACAGAATTCTTTTTGGAGGTGCACTGGAGCTCTTCGAAGCAGGGTTGTTAATGTTAAAATAGGGATTTCAGGCTCAAACTTTGGCACTTACAGACCCTTGACCTAATTGTCAGATTTGATTTGACTGGTACTACTGGAATTTGGAAAGCTAAAAACAGGAAAGAGATGTCTTAAGAACCAATCCACCACCCACTGACACCAGTGCAGGAATGCTTTTGGATTTTAGCTTTTTTCCTGGCACCACAGTGGAAGTCAGCAAACACAGGCTGCTCCAAGGAGATAGCAAAGGGACACATTCTTATCATCCCTTCCCCCGCTTTTTATTTGAGTATTTGCATGATGAGTTTTTACACTTGGATCTGAAGTTTTGGATCTGAATTTTAGCAGGTAAAAAGATTACTGGCCTTGGCCACAAAACTGCTGAGCACCTTTGTTACTGTAAGAGGTGCCTGACTAGAGGATGCCACATGACCTGAAAGTACTGGTTGTGATGGTGACCACAGACTGATGGCTAAATAGTGACAATAATTGAAAGTATAGAGATTATGAAAACACAGGTCTACTTGGAAAAAAATCATTTGATATTCTGTGGTGCTTGCTTAGGGGTTTCCAAACATCTGCCTTATCCAATAGGTTGACATAATGATACATCTGTGCAGTAAGGACATGATCTCTGATAGGGTTACTCTAAGCCTTCAGAAAAATTATACTACTTTGCTCTCATTGTTCTAGCAGTATGCTGAAGCTACAGTAAAAAAATTTAGCAAAACCTCACTTATTTAGTAATAAACAAAAGACAAGCTGAGGTTCAAAGAAAAAAAATTTTGAAGACATCAGGAGGTTCTTCCAAAAGGAACGGCTCATGAAAACTAATGTTCAGAAAAACTGGAAAAAAAAAAAAGTTCAGATTTAAGATTGTAAAATTATTCTGTCAGATACATGTGGGAGAAATATTTTTATGTAAGTTGCTAAATTTAAAATGTGGAGTCGGTAACAAAATGTACTGTATTCCAACTGACGTTTAAGGATTGGTACCTAAACAAGAACTTCGCTGCAAATATTATACCTCCAGGGCCTGTGCAGGTATTCATTTTCTTCGCTCATTTGCCATGTCTCCAGATGTTTTGCACATTTTCAAAATGTGTTCTCATCTTACAGGCCTTCTTATCTTGCAGATGATTAATGCATTAGCACAAAATAAATGAGAGAAGAATTTATTTTCCATTTTTGTTCAGGATTGTAGTTAGGAATTTTGCATTTTTCTATTTGTTGATGCTACACTATACATGCTATAATATATGCTATTACTATACAATTGAACAAAATCTCTTCAGCTTCTTGCCTTGCAAGGGAAATGTCTGTCCTGAAGGCTAGTAATGGAAGTTTACTTTTTTCTTTTTTTCTAAATGCTTTATTTCTATTTCTCACAGAACTTCTGGAATTTGAGCATGCTACTTATTATCAGCATAAAAATATATCTTCTTGCTCTTTGGGTTTACAAAAAAATTTGTAAATCAGTGTTGTTAACTATGTTTTGAATACAGTTGATAAAATAGAAAGGAAATGTAGTTCTTCAAGAAAATAAGAATGAATCTTCTTACCTATTCATTACTATTTTCTGTTCTGCCGTGCTTTTATCTGTGTAACGTAGTACTGTATCTAATCCCAAGGAAAGAAATTGAATTTAAGTACCAATGTCCTATGGCTTAATGGGGGGGTTAGATGCAGTTTTTAGAGTTAGTTTGTCTTCCTCATTTACATTTTTCTACAGTGTGCACTGAACTATTTTGAGCATTTAATGTGCTACTTCTTCTCCTCATGATTAAAGTCATAAAGCTGCTCTGACCCAGAGAGAGGCTTTGTGAATGTATAATTTCAATTTTCCTGTGTTCATGAAGCCAAAAAATATTCTGCTCTTCTAAAATGGAAATATGTTCATAACACGGGTTCATTGTTTGCATCTGATTGCAACATACCCCACAACACTGCTGTGGTTTAAAAATGGTTCACAGTGGCCAAAGACTCTAATGAGATGTGAAGAGTGAGGCTTCACACTTACTTAAGGCACTGTGAGCTATTACTTCACTGAAGAATGCATAAAAGATGATTATATTGTCAAGAGATTATTCTTTCATAGAGTTCTGTTTTCTGATAATTTAATTGATTGCCTATAGAAAGAGGCAGCAATTCTTCTGGCCAGTTAACTCTGACTGTGGGGTTCAGTTACAGTCATTCTCCTGTGTATTTGGTCCTCTCTGTATCTAAATTATTGCCTTGCCAATTCTTCCCTCTAAAGAGGTTTTAGTTTAGTGGAGAGCATACTCTTTGGAGGGGAAGTTTCCTGGCTTTTTCCTGCTTTCAGAAAACATTAGAGATACAACTTGCTTTTCCCCAACACACACAGGTATTCTCAGTGTGCTAATTCATTACTGGGGATTTTTCTCATATTTTAAATTGAGGAAGTACTGATGCTTGCTCAAAGCAACTCCAAATACTTTCAAGTCACAAAACTACCTAAATAATCCATCTCTCCACTCTGTCTGTATTCCCATCATTGTAACATTTGTTGTAACCCACTGTCAGCACTGTGAGTCTTGAAGGTGATTTCATTAACCCAAGTGACCTTAGGCACACACCCAGTTATTTTTGTGATTTGATGTGTTGCAGGTTTGATTTTGCTAGGATCAGTCTATGAGCAAGGAATATTTTTGGCTGTTATGTTTGTGTTAATCTAAATTACTTTAGATTGAGCAAAGGCTTGATTCCTTCTTTGCCATGCTTAATTGCTTTTGTAATTATATTGATTTTTCCATGCTAGGTCAGTATTGGTAGCCAGAAGCTGTTTTTTGAACTGACTATGTCATCTTGAGTCTCCATAAATGTGAAGATAATTGTAAAAAGCTTAAGA